TCCTTTCTTGCATATCTTATTGCCATCGACAGAGTCTACTCGCTCACTGAGGGCTCATAACTCTGTGTCAGCTTCAACGCCTCCTGCTCCTGAAAAGGTGACACCCCCTCCAGCCACGGAAAGTAGCAGTGGAGGAAGCACCCGGAGGAAACTCAGGACTCCTGTACGACTCACACCCGGTAAGAGATAATGTCTCAAAGAAGTGACCGTGTGATGCTTAGGTTATGATTAGAGTCATAAAACACATTTATTGTCACCGGTCTGCTATTGATTTATATTTTCTTCGTTTTGTCCCGTAAATCAATGTCCTTTTCTCCCAGGCTCTCCTGCCAGCCCTTCATCTCAGAGCACAGTCCACCTGAATGGCCACAGTAGTCACGTGACCCTGGGCGTTGGGAGGAGGGGGCGGAAATCCAGAGTGGACCCACCAGTGAGTCCTCCAGAAGTCACAACTCCGGGGAGCCCTTCCCGACCCCGCGGCCGCCCTCCTGGCAAGAAGAGAGGCAGGAAGAGCAAGCAGGAGCTGGAGGAGATGAGAAGGAGCGGCAACCGCAGGAGCTCCACCCCAGATGATGAGCTTGACCAATCGACGGGGGACGAAGGCGGGACATCTTCCGCGCAGGAAACATCTGTGATGTCGGACTCTGGAGTGGCATCGACGCCCAGACGGCGCGGCCGGCCCCGAGCAGTAAGAACTGATGAAGCCACTCCTCCTCCTGCTGAGTCACCCGAGCCCTCGCCGCTGAGGAGGAGCAGCAGGAGAGCCAATGAGGACATCACGCCTCCTCCCCAACCTGCTCCTCAACGACCCAACCGGAAGGAGTCTCCAAAGGAGGAGGGAGGGGATGGGGCAAGTGGGTCGATGCGCACCCGTAACCAGGGGCGAAGGTCCGCCTGGTACATGGAGGAGGACTCTGAGGAGGAGCAGAGGCAGTTGCTGTTTGAGGACTCATCAATCACATTTGGCACCTCCTCAAAGGGACGCGTCCGCAAACTCACGGAGAAGGCCAAAGCCAACCTGATAGGGTGGTAACGGGGAGCAGGAGCAGGCTGGTTGCCCTGACACAGGAGAAATCTGGCTGAGATTTCTTAATCCATGTGTTGGAGGAGCAGGGGGCTGAGTAGAGGAAGTCGTGCTCTGTGTTGTATGCATTTGTTGTGCGCATATGTGTGTGTACGTCCGGGGAGTTGCTAGTCCAGCTGCTGCTATTCGAAGCTGTGGCTACCGAGAGACGCAACAGCGCAGTAATCTGTCCACTCCTACTTCCTCTCGGCCCAGCAAGCACATCGCTACGCCGGCCCCAATGGCTTTCTGACGACGCATGTTCATTCGTTCCGACTCCTCCGACATTATTGGTCCATGTTGGATCCCACAGGAGCTCACGACCCCCACGCTGGTGGTCTTGTGACTCGTCCTCCTGTCCAATGAACCACTCTACACCTCCGTCTGACCTTAAACACTGTTGGTGTCAGACTTGGCAAAACAGTAGTCGTTTTAGTACTTGAAAAAAAAAATCACGAGGAGAGCTGGATGTACCTTAACTCACTCTTGCTATTTTTGAGGACTTTTCAAGAGTCTCTGCTGGGTATGTCAAAGATGCCCACTGAGCTGAAATTGTTAGGTCTGTGAGGGATTACAGACCACTGGCCTGACAACGTCTTTCGCCCCCCCCTCTTCTTCATTGTTCCTGCTCTTTTTTTATACAGCCCTCTCTGCTTTTTCTAAGATTTGTACGTGATGATCGGCCCTCTGTTTTCGGAAGTCTTACACATTGGCTGACCTGAGCGTGTCTGTCTGCGCTAAAATACCAAATGGTGTACCTTTGTTGGTACTGTAGATCTGTAGGTGTTGTTTACTGTTGATGTGTGTGGGTGCGCTTGGGTGGTTTCTTTTGTTTTGTTTTTTGCATGTTAGAAAGTTTTTACTATGAGGAGGAGAAAAAGGATGCATGGGTGAAAGGGGTCATTTATATATGTCTGGATAGATCATGTTTCAATGCGTCCTCAACATTAGCAATACCTTGTGCCTTTATGTCTGTGGTGTGCGTGCGTGAGTGCATGTGTGTGTATAAGTGCGCTTGGCCTCTGCCCTGCAAAGTACATGTGCCTGTATGTGTACAAACTAAGTTGTGACTCTTGCAAGTGTGTGTAATTGAAGGAGCGTGTGTGTTTTTATAACACAGTTGAGTGTGTCATTCAATTTCAGCGTACAAACAGTGGCATACGGTTTGATCGTTGTGAAACCTCTCAAAGAAATGTATTTATAGCAGTTGAAAAAAAGACTTTACTGTTGTTGTAAAACCATTATTCATGTCAATATATTATCCTATAACCAACCTATCGTCAGTTTATACCTAAGGTACAGCCAGTGGAGCTTTGGGTGACTAGCTTTGAGATGCACTTACCACAGACCGATTATCAATGCAGTCGTAGGGAGTAACCCTGTGTATTTTAAAATTGTTAACATATAAAAATTGACTTTTTAAATGTTGATATGTTTCTATGGTGACCATACACAAACACAAATCTGTCTCGCATGTTCTAGCACTTTCTCATGCCTGGAGAAAAACAGGATCGAGCCGGATCAAACTGGATCGAATTTGGAGAGAGAGGGACAAGTCTTACATTCATATTTCTGATTGTGTGCCTTCGCTCTTCTGGCATATTGAACCCTCGGTTTCTGCTTTTGCCCCCCCCCCCTTCTTTTTTCTCCTGCTTGTTGCCTGGTTCAGAGAACTGGACTTTGGGGACCGGACTGGACTTCACAGGCTCGTATTGAGGGCTTATGGAAGAGAGAAACGACTGACTGGGGGCAAACATGTCACTCTCTCCCTGTACACAAAAGTAATGGACTGAGTTTATACATATGACCACCTCCACTTTTGTCATACTTTGTGTTTTCACCCCAGCACAAAGCAACTGAATGCCAAAATCCAAATCAACAGTGTTGTGGGTTTGACTGGGGAGAACTGGACGGTAGCATCTATATACACCCGGTTCATTTCATAGGTCTTTCTTGTCACATATTATCCAACATATATCTCATCTGTTTATTATTGTTTTTGTTCTTTTGTTATGGATTTGTCAATGCCAAATTCTGTCTTTGGGCACTGAAGTTTTAGAACATGGCTTTTGAATGTGTTTATTTTCTGTCTCCACAGTGAGTGTGTTGAGCTTGATTTAATGTGTCAACTGTTTTCTGTCTGTGTCCTTGCCATACAGGACAATGTTTCAGTGGCTAGATCTGTGGAGTTAAATTGGTGTTTTATACTCCTCGCACTTATTTGAGGATACAATTAACAACTTCTTTTTTTTTTTTCTTCTGTCAGTCTGGCTTATATTTACTTCACAAAATGTTTGTTTATATTGTGTATATGAAGAGTTTTATTCCAGATTGAGACAGCCTAAAACACTGACACTTTCCTCCACAAATGACTGTTGGCATGAAAATAAATGTTATTGTTGGGTTTCTATTGAAGATAGGAAGGTAATGATTGTTGCCCACAAAACTGTGTATTTTGTGGGCAACGACAAACTCTTCATAGGCACATAAAGGCTTTGGATTTTTTTTTCTTTTCTATCTCAATCACAAATAATCATATTTACATATATGCACAGATTTTATGAGTAGAGTGTGGAAACAAAATTTTAGACCCTGGCTTCTCAAACCTAAGGTATGAGCTCACTTTTAAACATAGTGTTTACATGAGCCGACTAAAAGAAAAAACATTGCAGTTGAAAGTTCCAAATGTTTGCTGGATTTTGGATGTTTTCATGGACATACCCCATTCTGAATCAGGAATCAGTTGCTGCTCTTGCCTTTGGCCTGCTATGTAGCAGCCATTGTATCCCCAGGTAATAAGGGGGTGGGCAGGGATGTGCGTTATTCCTGCTCTGATTTCCCATTGAATTACAGTCACAGTGGGAATGCAGCCATCATATCTGAGTAGACATCAAACGTGTTTGTTCTGCTTTTGCCCCCTCTTCATCAGATCACCCACACTACCTGTATTTATCAAACCTGTCAAAGTAAGAGAGCTGACATGGAATTGCTGGTCGCGTTAGTAATTATCTACAACTTCTAATCATTTCAGAGGGGCCTTAAAAGCAAGTAACTGGTTTATAAGCAAGAATTGGTCAATTCATTCATTCACACTTTCAAACGAGCCACATCTGTCCCCAGTAGTTCATAAAGTTTTTGGCTTTTAGTTGATTTTTACTGAGAAGTTCTGAATCAGTGACTCAGCAGTTCAGATCAGCCCTCTTACTTTACAAGGCCCGCAGTGCATTTTGGAGCTCATGTACGCATACATTTACCACGGGCCTGTGCTAAAAGTGTGGCAGAGTTGTGCTGTTTGTGGCCTCTGACTGGGCATCACAGTGTTTGGGTCAGAGGTTAAAGGTCACAGTGTGTGTGTGTGCGTGTGTGTGTGTGCGTGCGTGTGTGTGCGCGCGCGTGTGTGTGTGTGTGCGTGAAGTGGCTGCATGTGAGCCACCAGGAAGCATTTTGGGATGTTTTAAGTTTTAAGGGGGTGTGGGATGGGAAAGAAGAGAACTGGGAAGGGGAAAGGGGTCTGTTTCACGTGAACTGATTGAAGAGGATGTCTTTGTTAGTTTGGATACTTTTTATATATAAAGGAATTAATGCAAAAAAGAAGCATATGACTAGAATGTATGTGTAGGGGAGTACTGCTGTCCTGTTAGTTCATACCAATATTTTAAGTAAATAAACAGTTGTGTTTCCATATCCACTTTCCCTTCCTGTTGTTGTTTGTGTCATTAAAAAAAATCCACTCTTGTTCATTGTTTTTTTTAAAACCTAAATTCATATTTTACACAACACGAAGGGGTCTTTTTCAAAATAAAAGCCTATTCTGGTTGATATGTTGCTCTCTAAAGTAAAGAATGGGCCTAGAGAGGTACTATAATATAGGTCATGTTTAGTGAATGCACAACTCTCCCACCCTGCGTTGCCACAGCGTAACTGCGGGGAATAAACACTTCCCGGTCCGGAGGCGACGGGCTCGGCTCTTCCTGACGTGGCGAGCGGCTAGAGGTCGACCGGTTCCTCCGTGGGCTGCGGCGATTGGGCAGACTACCTGTTCGACAAGTTTTTGTACTAAAAATGTAAATACACAGGTGGCAGCGGCATGGGCGAGCGTATGCATTATGTAAATAAAACAGAAGTGAAACCGTGTCACAGTGGTTTCCAGTCGCAGACTGTCTTATCAGACGCTATGTGTAGCAGATAGTTGGAGGGAAGACTTTGGATTTTAATACGAGGTAAGGGTAGTGATTGACAATAACGAGCTTTGACACTGAATTTCCTTTTAGTTTCTGCAGCGCTGTATGTTGTTTATCAAGGGTTTACTTCCCAGAACTTGAACCACAGTAAATCCAGTAAATCCAAACCCTTGCTGCCCAGAAGTGTCGGTTCACAGTAGAAGGAGCTCTGTAATGGAACTTAAAGCCTCCTTGTGCTTTCTTTTACAGACATGGCTTACACGTCGACTTTCCACTGATAGATACTGTCTGCCATCATACACCTGCCGCGTGTTTCAGCCCCGAGGTGACGGCTGCGCAGTGATCATGCCTCAGCTGACGGCCACCGCGGTGCTGCAGCTCATGCTGCTGCTCTCCGCTGTGCCCGCGCAGTACTTCATCTCCCGGTGGAGCGGCTCCACGGCGGCGCAGCGCTACCACGCCACCACCCGGTAGGACCCGTGTGTAAAGGGCGTCGGTGCAGGGTGTGCTTTGTATGAGGAAGAAAAAGTATTGCAAATGCATTGTAGTTTGTATAGAAATGTCAAAGTGAAAGTAGTGCATCCCTGAAGTTGGAATTATCTAATGTTATTGTCTATAATTCATCAATAATCCATCAATAATCCATCAATAATCACGGTGTTTCAGGTTGCTTAGAATTTGGAAAGAGTGGAGAAGATCTTTCCTCAATGGAACTGTTTGGATGGACTGGGTGAACCAGCAGATGTCCAAAGTCCAGTGAGTATGGGATGTCTGTGATTGTGTTTGGATATTTTAATATTTCAAGGCACTCTATTATGATCCCTCTCCCATCCCATCATGCACCACTTCCATCCCCTTTAAAAGTGGTTTCTACTGTTTAAGGTTCTTGTAGCGTTAGAGAAACACACACAGGCCACTCACTTGTATGTCCACACCGACATTATGTTCTTCTCCAAAGGTCTTTGGTTGGCCTGGGGCAGGAAGGGCAAGCGGCAAAAGAGTCACTTGCCATTGAGACCATGCTTTTTGACAACGACCATGGATTCTTTGGAGGTTTGTGAGTATTTTTTTAAAATTACAGAAAAGAAGAACTGCAGCCTTTCTGCGAGTACTAAATCAAGTCTTAATCATATGGGTTGTGCACAATTAACTACTAACTACACTAGCTTCCATTAGGTGCTTACTCTTAGTGTTAATTTACAAAAAGGCAAACTAAGCTTATTGGATCGAAACCATACGTAATGAAATTGTCCTGATGCAATGGTACTCTGGCCAGTCAGTTTAGAACAAACCCCTAAAGGAAGCAGGCAAATACGCACACTTGCAAACAAATGAGAGCTCTTTTTAAGACAGTGAATAGCCTGTAGGTTGAATTTGACTGCAGCACACTGGATTCTCGTTTTTCTTCCTCCCTGCAGCCTCGAAGACAGCGCGCAGCCCTCGTCCTCCGTACGTGTTTCTGCGGGTTGGAGAGGTGGTGATGGAGAGGAAGGGCCACATGGTTGGCGTGGTAATAAGCTGGGACCCTGAGATGCGAGCACCTCCAGAGTGGGTCGACAGAGTGTATTCCAACTTTGAGGTAAAGCAACTCCTCTTAAAAAACAACTCTAGCCTTGTATTGAAAAGTTAAACATCAGTGACGTCTGTGACTGTGTGTATGTGCATGCAGGGCACCAAAGCAGAGAATACACCCCATTATAAAGTGCTGTTCAGCGGGCCTGGACCCTCCTCTGTGTTAGTCGGATACTTGCCCCAGACACAACTGGAGCGCATCACCGGGATGAGGGTATGTACTGAAAATCACAGCACATGAACACACAATAGATTTTGGACTGACTGTTGGATGTCTCTAGCCGGACATTCCTACCTTGGAGAATTACTTCACGCATTTTGATGGGGAGCGGTTCGTCATGCAGCCCTGGCTCAGAGAGATCTTCCCCGAGGATGCCACGGATGAAGACATCTGACTGCTGAGCTGTGACGTGTTTTCTATAGAAATACTGACCCAGTAGTTATTATAAAATTGAAGATTTAAACAGATTGAAGATCATTTTCAGATTCCTCCTTGCTGGATCTCAATGCGAGGGTTCTTTAAGATTTACAAGTATACAGTATTTTAATTTCATGTGCCAAAAAAATAAAAGAGAAAACAGATTTTTAAAAATGTAATTTAATGCCTGCCTGATTTTTAAAGACAGATTTGAGGCTGGAATTCAGTTAGATAACCATAAATGCTTGAAATCTATGTAATCTTTCCAGGTAGTTTTTGCATTGGCTGAGGAAGAAAAAAAACCTTGAAAAACTGCACTTTTATTCAGCTTTTACAACTAAGCAATAAAAAATACTTTAAACTGTGACGACCTGCTCTTTGGTTTCATAAGTCCGTGACAAATGTCTTCAGAGTTTTTTCCTGCTTCTGTCTCTGAGGCTGAAGGACACGGACACCCGTGAGGAGGCAGTGATTGTCAGGGTGCAGGGAAGGTGAGGAAGGGATGCAGCACTCTGGCTTCTGCCTCCACCCTCCTCATCGTCATTCCTCCACTCTTTTGTCTCCTCCTCCGTGACCAGCAGGGGGGGTCCCAGAGTTTGCCCCAGGAGATTACTGACTTCGCAGGCCTTCTGCTGGGCATTTTCAACTGCTGAGACGCACGCACGCAGCCTAGAGCACGGACAAACACACGCTGGTTACATTCATCAGAAGTCTGTCCAGATATTACAGTGCTGTTGGGAAGTGTGTTTTATACCTCATTTGACTCAGGCATTCATCACTGTGGTAGAACTGCGGTGCTCCCACACAAACACTCTTATCCAGCTCCTCCAGCAGGATGCTACATACTCGCTCCATCTTCTCAAAATCTGAGAAAGTGACCACGACCTGTGAGGACGCCAGTCATGTACACACACATATGCTGTAGGGTCAGGGAAGGGTTAAGATAAGATAAGATGTACCTTTATAGCATCACACACATTTGAAATCATTAGTGTTTGTCCAAATACTCCACCTCTGCATCCATGCGATACTGGTCTGCCTCTCAGTGGAGAAACCTCCTCACTGAGGCGTCTGTCTCACTGACACCATGTTGTCTAACCAGAACGAATGAATGAAACAACCATTACATTCATTGCCATCAGGTTGCACTGAACATGGTGAAAAGTAGCATAAAATCCAATTCCCTTATAAACAGATACAAATGTTTAACTGATGGTTCATTGCCATGGTTACATTACTATAGTACTTGTGACAACTATTACTCCTACTACTTGTATTAAATTAAAGGCATGTTAATGCTTCAGTGGAAACCCATTAATTACTGGGGGGCTGCTGCCTGTGGTGGAAAGTAGCTAATGGGTACATTTCCTCTGGTACTGTAACGTTACTGACGTACAATTTTGAGATACAGTACAGTTTGCATGTGTATTTATTTCTTTTTTTAATCTTATGCTTCTTCATACTGACATTCCACCACATTATGGAAGGATATCTCTACTACACTGCATTTTACTGACATGCGTACAACTGTATCCATCAGTAACTATCCCTTTAAAGGCCAGGACACACCGAACCGACGGCTGACCGCCGGCAGAAAAGCAGTCGGACTGATCAGTCAGCTCCCGTCTCCCCGAGTCGGTCATGAAAGTGCCTCCGAACACACCAAACCGACGCCGACTGGAGCGTATGTTCTGCGCGTGCGCGAGGTGTAATACGTCCCCATAACAGCAGGCCAGAAATGACGGATCACTCTAGACCTAACGTAGTAAACACAGAGCACGCTGTCGTCAGTCATTGTTTTCATCAGAGAGTGTCAAGAAGGATCATTATTGTCATTACTCGCTGATCGGAAAATACGATGACTAATAATAACAAGATACTGCCGCTGGCGTAGTATGTTTACCATCGTCACTTCCGGTTTTCTCGTGATTCACTAGTCAAGGGCTAGCACTCCACCAATCAGATTGGTCATTGAGGCCGACAGCCACTGGCCGACTCTACATGTCGAATCGGCCAAAATGAACACCGACGCCGACTGACCAAACCGACTTGAGTCACCGACCTCGCCCGACTGTCCGACAACGTCCGACAGCCGATAATCGGGTTGGTGTGTCCAGGCCTTTACACTAGTCCTAGTGACTGCTGCTGAGTACCTTTACCACTGTTTAAGTACGTTTTAGTGCTAATACTTCTGCTACTACTCTGCTCATGCTAAAGTCGGAAGGCAGGACTTTCCAAAAAGTAACTCCACAGCAGTGAGTACTAGCCAACTGTTTGTTCAATGGATATAACTTACTTTACTACAACTTAAACAACTTTTACAGTAGCTAATACAGTCCCTGACAAAAGTCTTGTCGCTTGGGTACCAGTTGACCTTAAGTGCCCCTCAAATATATGTCTAATCAATTTTTTTTTTACAAGAAATGGCTAATTTCAACCCCAACAGCTTTTGAAATAATGTTTTGGTGCCAAACGAAACTGCTGAAAAGCATTCTAACGTTCACAGCTTGGTAAAGCCCACTGAGTCAATTTTTGCAAAGACAAAAGTCTTGTCGCCTTGTCATATGATGCACCCAATCCTAGATTACAGCCTCACCTGTGATCAATAATTGATCAATCAATTAGTGGGTGTGTATAAAAAGAACCCCGGCACACAAGACCTTCACATCAACTGCAACTTGACCTCTGACAACATGCCTAAGATTCACCCTGAGACCAAAGCGTTGATTATCAAGAGGCTGAAGACCAGTTCCACTGCTGAGGTGCCTGACAGTTTGTAGAAGTCTGTCTCGAAATGGCCTCCATGGTCGAATCAGTGCCCAGAAACCAGCACTAAACAAAAGGCAATTAAAAAAACGTGTGGCATTTGCCAAGGCCCACAGCCTGCTAAAAGGATGGACGCTGGAAAAGTGGCAGAAGGTGGATTTCTCAGATGAATCTTCGGTTGAATTACATTACAGCCGCCGCAAATATTGCAGGAGACCTACTGGAGCCCGCATGGATCCAAGATTCACCCAGAAAACAGTTAAGTTTGGTGGCGGAAAAATCATGGTCTGGGGTTACATCCAGTATGGGGGTGTGCGAGAGATTTGCAGGGTGGAAGGCAATATCAATAGCCTAAAATATCAAGAAGTATTAGCTACCTCTTACATTCCCAACCATAAAAGGGGTCAAATTTTGCAGCAGGATGGTGCTCCGTCGCATACTTCCATCTCTACATCAAAGTTCCTCAAGGCGAAGAAGATCAAGGTGCTCTAGGACTGGCCAGCCCAGTCACCAGACATGAACATCATTGAGCATGTCTGGGGTAGAATGAAAGAGGAAGCATGGAAGACGAAACCAAAGAATCTTGATGAACTCTGGGAGGCATGTAAGACTGCTTTCTTTGCTATTCCTGATGACTTCATCAATAAATTGTATGAATCATTGTCGAACTGCATGGATGCAGTCCTTCAAGCTCATGGAAGTCATACAAGAATTTAAATATGGATCTCACAGCACCACTACTTAATTCACTGATGTTATGCAATATATTTTTGTATTTGAAGTAAATTATTTGTTCAATTTTCACATTACTCTCTGTAGGCGACAAAATTTTTGTCTTGCCAAAATCTGACCTTTCTGTGTTCATTAAATGATCAATCTTTCTTCAGTGAAGCAAATTTATTTTAGTATATTAAACATAATTTGGGAGGGTTTTAGCTTTCATATGAGCCATTTCTAAAACCAATGGATTAATTAAAAGTCAGGTTACAAGCTGTTGTTTCTACAAAATAGATAAGTGACAAGACTTTTGTCACGGACTGTAGTCCTACTTGTCATCCTTTGATACTACCGTAGGTTTTTCTTAATGCCCCCAGTACAGCACTGACGTTAGCTAGTTTAATTTTAGCTAACTAATACAGTTTTAAAGTTATACAGTTGAATTTTTGCATATTTTGTTCACCTGACAGCTTGTAAAATGTATTCAAGTCGCCGTGAAATGCTGTTGGTCACCTCGTTGAGTCTTTGCTGTTGCACATTCCGACCCGGACCGACACTCGGTCCGCCGGGCAACAAACCTCCGCTGTTCCCGAGACCTGGAGCTCCCCTGCCCGGTTACTGGGACGATTCACTGCTTGCGCATCGACCTCCTGCTCGTCCTCATTACCGGCTGGTGAGGGAGCACTGCTGGACTGCCTCAGTGCATCTGGTCGGCGTATTACGACCCCACCACAATCGCTCCCCACAACAGGTGGGTCCACGTCATGATTTCCCCCAATCAGCTTGTCCATCTCCGCGTAGAACTGGAAGCGGACAGGCCCCCTTCCCGTCTTCACGTTATTGTCCTTACATTTCTTGTATCCCTCCACCAGCGTCAACCACTTGCGTGCCACCTTCTCCTGCTGGAACTGCTGCCTGAACTGTCTGCCAAGCTTCCCAGCCATCTCCTCCCACAGCAGTCTTTTTGTTTTCTTCTCCAACCTCAGCCACCGGTTGAGGTCATTGAGGGACAATGCAGGTCCCTCGCCCTTTACCTCCAGATGGATCCCCATCTGGTGGATTAGGAAGAGGGTCTGTTCTTTGTTGAAGCCCTCATTCACGGGAAGTGGTGAAGTAACCTGGACATTGCAGGTATCTGAATCAGAAAAAAGAAACAAGTCAGCACAGTACTTGCAGCACCCAGGGATAAATGACTGTTGAAGTACGCTCATGTCTACAGTATCATGATTTTTAATAACTCACCTGTGCAAGTGCAATCTGCCAGGTGTAGGTCAGCTGCCACCATGAGGCCCTCATATACAAAGCACCTTTCTGCATTCTGGTACAGGTTACCCCGATAGGGCACGGTCCTGTCCTTGTCCACAACGCAAACATGCTGTGGTTGAGGAAGACTAAAAAGAAAAAAAACACAATGTATGTTACAGACTGCAACTTGAGTATATGCTGTGAATAAACACCACAAAACTCTCATGTGAAACCCACCTTACAGCAATCTACAACCATTTATCATTTCTATTGTTTTCTGAGTAGCTGTAGGCCTGTCCATTGTCTACTAAACCACTAGCAGCAAAATACATTTTCAACCATTTCCCACCTCGTTTTCCAACAAAAGTAGGCTGAAAACATGTTCCTCGTGCCCCCTTTTTGGGTACTGTTTCAGGTCAATGTGAAATAATATGTTTTTCTACAGTAACACTAACATTTCAAGTAATTCCGTTATTGCAAGTCTTACATTCCAATAATATTTTGCCATTTCCGCCTATTTCAATTTCAACAAGTGCTGTCGTGTTTTTTCATCTTTACAAAATCAGGTTTTTTACTGTTGAATTTACATTTATGAATGTGGAATTTTGCCAACAGAATTAGTACATTTTTAATGAAGTACAAATTTTCTTTACTTTGACTTCTATAAAAGCAAAATACCACATTCTCCCACAATAAGGCAAAGTCTTTATAAATATGGTCAATGATGAATCTGCTGAAGTTTTGCCAAAATGTTCTGGTGTGTAAGCAATACCAAAAGAGGTGCAAAACAGTTTCTGGGTGGTCTTCACAAAAAGAACAGTTTGTATTGATGTCTCTTTTAAATTTAACCATGTAATGGTTAGCAGGGTAATATCTGTGAATTATTCTGAACGTCACTTCTTTCACCTTGTTTACTATCAGGTATCTGTGAGGAATCATCCAAACTTTTTTTCCAGTCAATGTCGTTTACAAATCAGTTCCAATAATATGGAGGACTGAAAGTGCCACAATTAAATAAATAAATACACCATTAAATAATTACTTAAATGTGTCATTAATTAATTAAAATTGGAATTAAATACAGAAATATGATATTAAATGTGTCATTAATTAATTTAAATACCGATTCATTTAATGTAAAATACATATATATTTATTTCACTATTTACATTTAATGGTCCTGCGTTGCAGTGCTTCATGAATTACTTAAAACTGTCAAACTCACCCATCAAAAGTTGGTAGGCGGAACCTAACGCCTGATTGGTTACCCTGCGCATCAAGCGAAGACAAATCAATTCCAGATAATGGATCGATGCAGAGCTAGTGAACACATTCCAATACACTGGGTGGCACTATTGGACTACTTCTTCTAAATCTGCAGTCACTCTGTGGTCAATATCTTGGTCAGAAAGTGCTGAAATAACTCCAAGAACTTCAATAAGTTCCTCTGCTTTACTCGCTACATGCTCTGGGTCAGCAGCTCCTGCTTCCACATCCTCTGCTAAGTCTAAAAAATAAAATAAAGTGTTTAAATTTGAAAAATAAAGTGTAGCAGCAGCTTGAGTTTCCCTTTTTCTTTGTTAACTGTTTCATATCTTGATTAACAGTCTCAACAAATTTTATAAATGAATATCAACACATCTTTGCAATTGAACAGTTTCTCTTTGTTTCCCTTTTATATCTTTCTATACACTTTCTGTTGTTCAGTGAACCTCTCTCCCTCGTTGGGCAGTGAATGAATGGGTCAGGATCAGTGTTGGTCATCTTACTTTAAAAAGGTTAGTAACTCAGTTACCACACTGTAAAAGTAATTAGTTACTCAGCAAAGTAACTGTGATGTTATTTTTTATGGTCTATAATTACATTCTATAACATCTTCTATAACGTTAAAGATGTTTATAATCACTGAATAAAGAATAAAAACACTATATAAAGTATTTTAGAACATTTGGTATTTATTTGAACTCAATAGATTGCAGCCGGCCATATGCATAGAAATAAAAATATATACAACATAAATATTGAAAATAAAATTCACACGTTACATAAACATTCTTGCCTTTAACTTCAGTAAGCGAGTAGTAGTGTCGGTACTTCCAGTTTGATATCGCTACCTTTGAATTTCCCTAGCTCGTCGCCATTGTCTCTGTCTTGGCATCTGCCCACCCAGCCAATCATCGCATTTGCAACGGTGTCATCATCACCACCCTGCCCTCTCCTGGCAGCTGATGTGTGGCTGTCAGAAAGCCTGACACCGCTGCGCTTCATTCACCACATTGTAGGAACGCAAGTAACGCGCCACTTTACATTCTCAGTAACGGTAACGGCGTTACAACGATGGGAAAAGTACTTAATTAGATTACTCTGTTACTGAAAAAATAACGCCGTTATACTTAAACACCGTTACTCCCAACACTGGTCAGGATACTGGTTGAGTGATCATATTGGGATCTGAGCCTGCTTATTTTCTGTGACCTTGTTCAGACTTGAGTGGGTATGTTTGATGAAAACTTTGTGTTTTGTCTCATAGTGGAGTTTCACACTGGCACTTTTAATCAGCGCCGCGGTCTCTGAATATGTGAGACACACTGGTTATGTTCTCCCAGTGGGAAGAATGAATGTGAATGAATCTGTCCATTAAAAGCTCGATTTTCTATCCACCTTTCTCTTCTTAGAGAGCGCCATAAATCTTCTGTTGTCTCTCGCTCACTCATCCCTCCCGTTTCCTCTCCATGTATCTGTGACTTCTCTTTCCGTCTGTCTCTCCTCTCTCATCGCTCTCATCTCTGTATTCAGTCGTGCTGTTTAAACAGATTTGATTGGCTGAGCAGCATCACGTGGGATGGCTTAACTAGCATGCGATTGGTCTGTGAGCTTCCTGATCTGCTAAACAAATACCGTAAAGACTAAAAAAGCTGTGCTGGTTAAAATAGAAGCTCCCCATCCAAATTTAGAATCCTCAATAATGAATTGATTATAGGTCTGGGTCCGCATAGGACGGTGTCTGGGTCCAGACTCGCCTGTTAGTGACCTCTGCCCTAGAAAGTTCATGAAGATCTTCCAGGCACTCTACTTCAGACCAAAGCAATGGATCAGGCTAGATTCGCGTTAGCCCCACCCACTGAGTTTGATGGCTGGCTTTGACAGTTTTAAGTAATTCATGAAGCACTGCAACGCAGGACCATGAAATGTAAATGTAAATAGTGAAATAATTATATATGTATTTTACATTAAATGAATCGGTATTTGAATGAATTAATGACACATTTAATATCACATTTATGTATTTCATTCCAATTTTAATTAATTAATGACACATTTAAGTAATTATTTAATGGTGTATTTATTTATTTAATTGTGGCACTTTCAGTCCTCCATACAATAAAACATCACATTTGGAATAGATACAATTTCTTTCTGAAACAAGGCACGAATGTTTGGAGGAAGTTTAGAAAAACAGATTTTTCCAACAGGTGATTCAGCCACAGCGGGGAGGGAGACAGAAGTGGGTGGAGGTCTACCAGTATTTCTAAAAAGCATTATTGAGCCTGATGGAATGGAGTCAAATACAATTGCAAATTCTTGTGGCGTAACTGGAATATTATATGTTGATAGAAACTCTCTCTAAGAGAAAAGTCGCCCCTCTCCGTTAAACAGCTGGCCCACCAACAGAATCTGATTCTGTAACCAAAAAGAGTGACTTGTTTTTATATAAAATATCTCTGTTATTCCAAATTCGATACCTGTGAGGTGTGAAATTGTGCTTATAAATGACAGACCATGCTAAAAGGACCTGCTTATGGAAAGTGGACAGTTTCACAAGGAGTTTGTCCACATTGTAATTACGGTTCAAAATAAAACTCAGACCACCAAAACGAGAGAATATATAGTGGGGAATACAGAAAATGCTTAGCCCAATTTATCTTAAAAGTATTGTTTAGTGTATTAGTCCAAAGTCCAAAAAGTTGAGCCCACCAGATTCATAATTATTCATAACAGCACTTTTTTTAATATACATATAATGTGTACGATTTGTCCAGATGAAAGTCAAAAAGCATTCTATCAATATCTTTACAAATTTTACTGTCCAGGTGTAAAGAGAGCTTTATCCATCTATGTAAGCAGAGATATCCCTTCAGCCTTGGTAGGTAACACTCTGCCTTTTAGAGATAAGTCCCTTTGCAGCCACTGATTCAATTTGTTTTGAGTTTTTTAATGATTGGAGAAAAATTTGATGGACATCTCATTTTCTGATCTTTAGAGATAAGAATACCCAAGTATGTAACTTCTTCCTTGATCGGAATGTTGCAAATAGCTTGTATATTACAATATTTTAAAAGGTAACAGTTCACATTTATTTATATTTAGACATAGATCAGAGGCCTCTGAAAAGTGGTTAATTACATGAATGGCGACAGGTATCTGACTAGCATTTTTTAGAAAGATTGTGGTATCGTCAGCAAGCTGACTGATGATGATATCCCTATCCGCAATAGCATCCCTGACGAATGCCCCGTTTCAGCTTAAATCTAGGGGAAGTTCAATTTTTCTGTTAAATAAAGCTATTTCCATTAACATATAAAGTTTTAATTACTTTGCAGAAAAAATCCCCAAAATCCAATTTTTCTAAAGACAGAAAAATAAATTGGTGTTCTATTGTATCAAAGGCCTTATAGAAATCTAAGTAGAGGATGAAGCCATCTTCAGATATCAGGTCAGAGTAGTCAAGAGTATCTAATACTAGTCTAATATAATTAGAGATGTGCCTATTCCTCATAAAGCCTGACTGTGTCTCATCTACAATTGTGTCAAGAGTTACTTTAATTCTCCTGGCAAATATTAACACCATCATTTTCTAATCATTATTTAGCAGACAAATGGGTCTCCAGTTATCAATAAAAAGCAAGTCTTTTCTAGGTTTGGGAATCAATGTGACCAGACCTTGAGTGAGGCTAGGAGGAAGGGCATCATTCTCTATACTCTCCATAACTGATTTGAGAACGCTTTATAAAATTCTGCAGTTAAACTGTCAGTGCCGGGAGATTTATTGTTTTTGAGTAGAGCAATCGAATCAGTAACCTCTGTCATTGACAGAGGGGTATCACAATAATCTTTATCTGGCATATCGATCTTTCTCACGTTATTTACTGAGTTTAGAAATTGAGTACTAACTTCTTCATTATATTTTGAGCTGTATAAATTGCTATAAAATGTTTAACAAAAATCTGAAATTAATTAATTTAATTTATTTATCAGTAATGACCCCATTAATATTTAAATTACGGATGGGATTGATTTTGGATTGGTATTTTTCAAGACGGAAAAAGTAGGCAGAATTTATCTCCCCTTCCTCCAGCCATCTCTTTCTAGACCTTACAAAGGCTCCCTCCGCTTTTTGTCGATATAATTCGTCTAATTTGTTTTGGAGTTCTAATAAAAGTAGCTTATACTCCTCTGAAACTTCATCAGGGGGTCTCTGATAAAACAAAGACATTTTACTTATGACTTTCTCTTCTTCTGCTCTTTTAATAATAATAATAATAATAAATAAATGTTCCATACTGTCTTAAGAATTTTCCTGATTCAAACTTAAGCAGTTCCCAGTTAGTGTTGTAGGATTTTCCCCTTTTAGCCTTGTTGTAAAAAGAGTAATTAAATTAATAATTTCAGTCTTAACCTTTTAATGCTTTAACAGGGAATTGTTTAATTTCCAATAGCAAGGTCTACGGATTGTATTAGATGCACTAAATTGGATGCTTATATGGATTGCTCTATGGTCTGTGAGGGGCATGGCCAGGATATTTACTGTAATTTTCTCTTCATCAGTGTTATTGGATAGCAGCCAAAAATCAATGCGAGACTGGCTGGATCCTGATCTGTTGCTCCAAGTGAAGGATCTTTCATCAGGGAATTTTTCTCTCCATACATCCACAATGTTACATTTTCCCATAAGTGTTTTAAGGTTTGTGCTGAGGGAGGAGGGCCGCCCAGGGGGCCACCTGTCAATAGCATTATCTAGAGCAATATTAAAGTCTCCACCAATTAAAGGCATACTATGCAGTTTTCCGGGTTTGTCAAACAGCTACCCCTAGAGTCGCTGCAGAGTACTTGTATTTAACGTAACGGTCGTAAATACCACTCACCAGAGCCGTCTCTATATACGGCTCTGCGTCTCTGCTCTCGCGGCCTGATCCCCTCCCCCCTGTATACCGGTACATGTTCAGTAGGATGGAAGCGTCGGACATCAAACAGGCAAAGATAGACTCCGAAGATGTCTACTGACCAGGTAACGTCTGAGTGAATGCCTGCTAGTGTCTTCCATTGAGGCTGCTTCTTATGTCGCTGATGTATGTGACGTCGCACCATAAAGCAATTTGTGATTCTTGCGAGATCTGGCGGGACGCCACCTTTCAGACTTGTACTGCTGGTTCTGCCAGCGGCGTCCCTCTCCTGCTTTGCTATCGGGATGATTCGCTATACTACGAGTTTGTTTACCACCGAAATGACTTTGAAGCTGTTATATTAAGGTAAAAATCTTGCATAGTGTGCCTTTAAAAGAAGAGAGTTGCCAGTATTTGGTGAGCCAAAATATAATTCTTTCCTCTATTGAAACAAGTAACTTATCATTCTAAAGTTTGTTATTATAACCGTAAAGATGAACAGTTATGATATAAATATTATTGACTCTAATTATAAGACATTTATAGTGTCCTAGGGAATCACAGTCTGAGTGTAGGACATCACCAGTGAAAGTATTGTTAAGCGTGGTTACTCCAGCAGATCTCTTTGAGCCCTGAGAGAACCAAATATCATTGCCCCATTGAGATTTCAAAAAATTGACATCAGCAGATGTGGAATGACTTTCTTGAAAAAAAAAAAAAAAATCCGAATGAAGTTGTTTGGCAAATAAAAAGAAGGCTTTCCTTTTACAAATGTGTCTTAATCCCCTGGCATTTAAAGAAACAATAGATAAAGACAAAGTTATTAATGAAAACGAACGAGAAATAAGCAAGAAAGTGATCAATAACCAGTTAGGTAAGAGTGTATCACTGGTTAAGGGGACCGAGTGCTGCATTATATAGGGAAAAAACGGTAAAGGGGAAAGAAAATAGTTCCGGCCAACTAGAAAACACAGCGCTCTTAATCAGCTGCCTCGGTTATTAAATGGCCTTAAAAAGCAAAACATATGATACAAATGGCAGCGATTTTGAAAACTAGAGTAGCTTCGCAGAGTCTTAGTTACAGTACAATAGGAGCTATAACATTAGAATATCAACTCTGAATGCAGTGCAAGTCAAACCAACAGGTGCCCTTCTGTTATTAGGCAGTAGGCGAGTCTGTTTCTTAGGTGGTGCCAAACCGATGTACGGTGTCGATAGTGTCAGCCAGCCTGACAGACCTCGAGTGTACACACTTTGTTTTTTACATCCTTAATCTCTGCACACACAAAGTCAATTGTTTTTTTTTTAAAGCCCTTCAATTTTAAGTGCATTGGCACTGACCATGCTTTCAATGTTGTCTGATCGCGTGTTTATCAGAGCTGAAAGGCTAGCTATGATATCGTTCAGGTTGGTTTGCTCAGACCCGACTGTGTACATCATTTTCTTCGGTGCTGGCGACATACCGGGAGTGATAGGCAGCGGTGGAAATTCATCCATGAAGTCTTCTGCAGCGGTGAGAGGTAGGGAAGTGGAGGTATAATCGTGACAATTGTCAATTAAAGCGTTGCCAGCCTTGAGAATAACGTTACTAGCGTCTGTCTTTAGCTTCCGTCCGGCGCTCTCTCGGCCTCTTTTCCTCACGCGTTGGTTCGACATTGAACAATATTGTTCGTTTTATGAGTGCTGTATTATTTAAGAGAACAGAATTTGGTGCTTGGCGAGATAATAAGTTGAGTTTTACCGTTTCCAAAACTTTCATTTGCAGTGCTCGGTAGAAAGCGTCTACTTCTTCTTCTTCATATGGATTTCCGGCAGTTTAGACGCCTCTAGGCGTATTACTGCCCTCCTCAGGAAGTCACTCTAAGGATAATGTTACTGCTTCAAATTTTCATATATAGCCCTGTATGTGTAAGAACTGTAATACTACTTTAACAATCAAGTGGTGGTTCTCATTTTGACCCAATAAAGATTTAACCGAAAATCACCGAACTCAAAATCTGATACTCTCTTATGTAAAATGCTCCTTTCTATGGTATATTTGTTACATTTCAATAAAACATGTTCAACTGTTTCAGAATTTCCACACTCACAAAGCCCATTAGGATGCTTTCCAATAACATATAAAGACTGATTCAACCCACAATGCCCAAGTCTCAACCTACAGATTTTAACAGAATCTCTTCTGGATCCATAACAGTGCCTGGCTTTTTTAACCTGAGACTGCAAAGAGTAATAATGTCTCCCCTTGGTCTCATCTTTCCATAATGTTTGCCATTCCCTTTCAATACTCTGTTTATTTTTTTCTTGTAGTTCCACTCTTCCCAATGATATATTTATATCTGTCTCTGACTTCTTTAGGCTTGATTTTGCTAAACAGTCTGCTATTTCATTTGCCCAGGGACCCAGCAGAACATGACATTTCCACCAATCTCTGTAATTCTAAATAAAACAGCTAGAATTTCATTTATGATATCAGGATGGGCTTTTGATTCACCACCTTTCAAGGCCATCAGGGCAGCTGCAGAATCAGAGCAGATTAAGGTTTCACTTATTTTCACATCCTCAATCCACCACAGAGCCCAAAGAATTGCCAGTAACTCTGTTGTAAATACAGAACTTCCGTTTGTAATTCTTGGACTGATCCTAAGGTCCAGTTGAGTTATATACACCCCAAAACCTGCTTTACCACTCTCTGGTTCCCTGGCATCTGTAAAAAATTTCAGATATGATCTGTTGAGATATTCTGTGATTTATACTGATTTATATATTTACCTGTATGATTATTAACTGGAATAGAAATATGTTTACTTGTGCTTACATTGATTATGCTTACATTGATAAAGGGCTGTTAAGGGAATACTAATAACAGAAATAAAGTAATAGATATTAGATGTTTGTATGATGTGTTATAGAATTGTAACTTACTAATGAATATGAATAGCAGGCACAGTATAAGGGAGAAGAGTGTGGGTAGTTGCAGATATAACATGACATTCTTTGGGAGAGATAGCGGTAAACACGGCCTCCGAGGTCAGTGTCATGAGCTCGTAAAAACAATGATGGAGCACATGACAGACTCCTTCCAGTCGTAAAAGACAACTCCATATCGGGAAGAGAGATTAAGAAGTGATACATAGGTTTAGATAACAGGTCATTGAATGTCAGAAAAAGAGGCTGTTTTCCGCCTTCGATGAGTTCCAGGTGCTAGCTACCCCATCAACACCATCCTTGGAGTCAAGATACCAAGGGAACATGATTAAACCATCTTGTGCTATGTGTGTTATCTTCAAGAATATAAGAACTGATGTTAGGAACAGGTGGCTGCTCAGACTTCGTGAACTGGCAGACCTTGTGCATGTCAGGTTAACCGTAGTTGAACCCAGAGCTCTGTTACTTTTGTACAATATAATGGTGTTAAAATAAAGCTGATTCTTTCATACTCCAAGATCTTTCTCCTATCGCTTCATTAAAAGAACACGCGAGGAATGAGTCTTTGAAATACAGAGATTCCTCAACAGATCCCATACCACTGTTCAGATATTGTTCCAGTTTTAAGGCAATCACATGTTTATTCTTTTCTTGTAAAAAAGTTAAATCAATATCCAATTCTTGCATTAACCAATAAGGAATAGGTAATTGAATTGTGTAGAGTGCTGTGTTTTCCTGCTCCATTCTCAATTTGTCCACTGACTTATACATTCAAAAAATGATTTATTTCTTATCTTTCTATAAGAATCCAGTGTCCCTTGCATAAGACACCTTGCTGGGAATGCTAAATTAGATCCACTCAATTTTACTCAATACTGCATTCCCAACCTTAAACATAAGGGCATTTCACCCATTTCAATGAGCAGAGCTGAAATTGGAGATGTCCTGAAAGCTCCACAACAGAGTCTCAATGCCTTAGCCTGCAGAGTGTCTAACTTCCTTAACACCGACTGGGCCGCAGAACCATGAACAAAGCACCCATAATCAATTGAAGATCTTATCATTGCCTGATATACTAAATGCATGGACCCCCTCTCCGCCCCCCCAGTCACAACCCGCCAGACTTCTCATTATATTTAACACCTTGTGACATTTTAACAAAATGTTCTTAACATGAACAGCCCAAGTCATTCGTTCTTCCAACCAGACCCCCAAAATTTTTAATTCTTTTACTCTCTCTAGGGGGGAACCATACATACATAATCCAAAATCAGGTGCCTTTCTCTTGTATCCAAATATCATAAATTTAGACTTTGCCACTGAAACTTTAAATCCCCATTTATCTGCCCAATCCTCCACATTAACTAAAGTCTTTTGAATTTGTTTAAAAATAAACTCTGTATTTCTACCTTGTTTCCAAATAGCCCCATCATCTGCCAATAAAGACTGCCCCATCCCTCTTCCAATATTACTAAATATTTCATTTATCATTATACTCAATAAGACTGGACTTATGACACTTCCTTGAGGGGTACCATTTTTTATTCTGACACATTTTGATCTACATCCACCCACTTGCACTTGTATTGTTCTATTCATTAAAAAATCTTTAATCCAATTAAACATTCTACCTCTAATTCCTAGATCATACATTTTTATCATCAGTCCTTTCTTCCACAAACAGTCATAAGCTTTCTCAATATCTAAAAATACACTTACCACTATTTCTTTATTATTAAATGCCTTCTTGATATCTTCTATCTGATATCTAAAACCACTACAGACTCCATTGTTGATCTTCCCTTTCTAAAACCATTTTGAAATTTAGTAAATAATCCTTTACTTTCTAAAAAGTAAACTAATCTATTTGTTATCATTCTCTCCATGATTTTTGCCTAGTTTCAAGATAGGAATTATAACTGCATGTTTCCATTCTACTGGCAAACAACCCTCTTCCCACACAGTATTAATCAGAGCAAGAACTTCCTTAAGTACTAACTCATCCAGATGTTTAAATAGTTCATATGATAAGCCATCTCTCCCAGGGGTAGTGTCTGCACCAGAATCAATGGCATCTCTCAATTCTTTCTTGGAAAAAAACAAACTAGTTGGATTTTCATTATCAGAATTCCTGTTAAGCTTCCACTGATTAACTGACAACAGATTGGACCTTTTCACACTGCTCTCAATTCCTAAATTACCAGAGCTATGCACTGCCTGAAAAACCTCAACAAGCATGTCTGCTTTGTCTCTGTTGGTTATTGCTTCCACCCCACCTTTCTGTAAAACTGGAATTAGTTTCCTCTTATAAACCCCTGACATTCTATGTACTGCTGACCACAAGTGTCTTACAGGAGTTTCAGGGCCCAGTGTTTCACAAAATCTTCTCCAACTATTTCTCTTTGCATTTTTAATTACTCTTCTTGCTACTGCCCTAAATCTCTTATATTCTACTGCAAAACCCACCATGTTTAGCTCTCTCCTGAAACTTATCCCATTTAGCTATATTTTGGAACTGTCTCTTCCTCTTCTATAATAAAATTTCTTCCAAACCTACATAAGATCGGGTAATGGTAACTGCCCATAGTATATCTATCCAAGATATCCCATTCTCCAATTCTGGCTAAGTTTGAGGAAACAACTGCTAGTATTCCTAACAATGTGGAATCTTGTTGGTCTTCCATCATTTATCACAACCAGATCATACTTGTCCAGAAAGTCTTCTCCTGTCTCTCCATTATAATTCTTACTATCCCTTCCCCATAACAGGTTATGGGCATTAAAATCCCCCACCCATATAACAGGACCCCTTATACTGTCCATAATCTCATCAAATTCAGACAGTAGCAATTGTTAACAAGGATTATACAAATTTATAACAGTTATTGGACTATAATTACTCAAAAATTCCACTGCCAAAACCTCCAGTAATAAAAGAAAACTGGAACTCCCCATATTCAAGCCACTCTGAAGTACTTTTTTTGAAGACCTGATTTACATAAGAACTTTGTTAAAATTTTGATTATGTCTGATCTCTTAGTTGATGATTTTGCTCCTACCAACACATCAACAATGAAAGCCAGAAATGTTTCCCTATTCAAAATGATCGTATCATGGGAATATGCTGGAGCAACTGGAGAGACTTGCTGACTGCTGTTTGCCTTTTTGTTCCCAACTCTTTGTTCTCTGTTGACTCTGTTAACTGCCTCTGCATATGAGACCTTGTGCTGTTCTCTCACTGTCTGGACCTGTTGGGCCTGAATAAAATGTTCACACCCACGAAGCGATGCTGTATGATCTCCTCCGCAATTACAATACTTAGGAACCTCTGCTTTACACGCTTGATATTCATGATCCCCGCCACATTTCCCACATTTACGTTTAGCCCGACAAGAGCCTGCCACATGTCCAAACTTCTGACCATTATAACATCGCAAGGGTGGTCTTTTATACTCCCTTACCTGGTACCCCATACTTCCAAAAAGTACTTTCCCTGGCATAACATTACCTTCAAATGTGAGCAGGACTGGTGAGTCCCCATTGCTCCCTTCCTTACGCTTGAACCTCATAACGTTAGTCACTAAGGCGCCCTTAACATTGTCTAAGATTTCCTTATCTGACAAGCCAGCAAACACTCCATAAATGACTCCTTTTAATAGCTTGCCTATCTCTGGGTACAACAATCTCAACTTTTACTACCAACTTCCCCACCTCCTTGGTGTTATCATATCATATCATTTTTTATCTTTACAACAAACTCTTAGCAACCCATTTGACAGTATTTTAGCTTGAGCTCCCCTCCCAATCTGACTATCCGAAGCAGAAGTAACTCTCAGTGGGTTTAAAGTTTTAAATCCTCCTTCTCCCTGCTTCTGATCTTTGACT